AAACAAAGTGAAAATATTTCTGTATTGCAAAAAAAATTAATATAGCCTTTAATAAAATAAAATGCATTGTGAATCCCTCCTAAAGAAATAGAGTATCCAGGGTTTCCCAAATTTGGTTGGCCAAGGAATCCTTGGGATACCAGTGTCTTGATGATCAAAGGTTTGTGATTCTCTGTGTGTAAGGACAGGAATTGGGCGGGTAGTGGTGCAGAGGACAGAATGTCATAGGTTGAATTGTGTCTCCCAAAAATTCATGTGTTCAAGCCCTAAGCCCTAGTGTGACCATATTTGGAGAGAGTACTTTTACAGGGGTAATTAAGGTTAAATGAGGTCATAAAAATGTGACCCTAATTGTCCTTTTTAGAAGACACATCAGGGCTCACGCACACAGTGCAAAGGTCATGTGAGGACACAGCGAAAGGATGGCTGTCTACAAGCCAAAGAGAGAGGCCTCGGGAGAAACTAATCCTGCCACCACCTTGATCTTGAGCTTCTAGCCTCCAGAACTGTGAGAAAATTAATTTCTATTGTTTAAATACCCACTCTGGTATTTTCGTATGGTAGCACTAGCAGAGTAACATATTCTCTAACATTGGCTAACTCGGGGGTTACAGGTGTTCCCCTCAGTGCTGAGCGCAGTAGACATGATTTTACTAATAGGCATTGGGAGGGGTGTGTGTGTGTGTGTGTGTGTGTGTGTGTGTGTGTGTGTGTGTGTGCTCTAGATCCATATAGTGTGAAGTTGTGAAGTTACCTAGGAACAACATAAACCAATAGGAAAAAAATAGTTATTGTTTAGTCACATCATCTTCTTACATGACTAGAACTCTTTAGCCTCAGTGATTCAAAGAAAGTTGCATAGAACCAAAATGTAGGATCCCTGCATGTGCTAACTCCCTGTTCTGGTGAGAACAAGGTCCTGCAAGACATAAAATCCAAATGCAGATTCCCAGCTCTCTCAGTTACTGTGCTTCAGTGCACACAGAGGCATGGCCACAGTGGGGCTACATCAAAGAATAATAAAAACAACAAAAACAAAACCAAGATTAAAAAAAAGCTGGAGTGTGAGGGCATCACACAGGGAAGGGAGAAGAAGACAGACGAAAGGCTAGAGTTAGCGCAGCCAAATCTAGGCCACTGATTTAAAAACTGTCACGAGAAAGCCTTGAGGCTGTTGCGTGGAGTGAGTGCTGACTGCTGAGAGGCAGGAGGCTGGGCGTTGGGGGCTGGGCTGAGGCAGCATCTAGGAGTGCAAGACAGAATCGAGTAGGAGAGCTCCATCTTCTTTCCACTCACCCCCAAGCCTCAGGCTTGTTTATCATCGGTACACATTAGTGTTCCGAGGAGGGATTTTTAACTGGAAAATGTGAAGCTCCAATTTAGGCTCATCTCACTAGATGTTTGGGAAGCAGAAAACACACGTGGAGAAGGGTCTGTCACCGCATTGCACCCTAGATAGGTGAGGGTGGGGGGACAGGTCAAGAACGCTTGCCTTCTGACTCTCAGTCACCCCCTCTCCCTGCTGGGACCCTCCTCCTTTCTACATGATGCTCATGCATGAAAATGCCACGACCCAGCCCTCGGCTCCCTCTGCCTGCTCATTTAAAACAACAGCTGTTCTTCCCAATTGCTCTGATTTGCCCAGTTTGACGCCTGTTGTTCCAGTTTCAGCGTGTCTCCAAATCTACCTCTTCGATTTTGATTTAAAGGCAATCCACCAGAATAATTAAAAGCGTTGGCTCTTAACTTTAAACTCACCCCTTTTCTAAGTCCCTGTTACCTTAGCTAAGTAACAGGTGAATAACCGTATCTATCTTGAAGATTATTGTAAGTCTTAGATAATTTCCCACAGCACCTGTAGCATAGTTCTAGCACAGTTCTTTCATGTTTATGCTTTTCTGTTTAGGTTCTTAATTTTATCCTGCCTTCCCTAGAATGGAACCATTGTCACAGTGACCCTCTGACAAGGCCTCAAGCTTGGGCCCCTTGCAGGGCTATAGGGAGGAATAAACAAACTGCCCCAGTGTAAAGTGGGATGCTCTTTTTACTCCTCAGCCTCCATCATTCACTCCCAGTGGACCGCCATCATGTGTGGCTCACTGTACAGCTTGAAATTTTCCTCCCTGTGTAAACAGCTGCCCAAACCCAAAGTAACCCACATCTGATATTTGGACGTCACTTTTCCTCACCTTTCTAAATTCGAAGACCTTTACCTCCTCCCATCCTTCATCTGCTTTATCTTTGGAAACACCCTAAGGATCATTGTCTCAGCCCCACCCTTGAGAAATTAACCTGACACGTTGCCTACTAGCCACAGCCTCCATAAATAATTGTTCATGCTCTCCACACCCATTAAGTTCCCACATAGCCTGAACCTTGAAGACCTCTAAACCCTTAACTGCTCATACCTTGCATAGTCTCTCAGAACCTTCTGGAACCCATGACTCTCTTCCCAGCCTACCACAATCTTAATGGCTCCCCCTCAAGTCTCTGATGTACACGCTCCCTATCCATAAAATCCCTTTTTTTCCATTTCTCATTCAGCATCATAACCTATTTTGAGAGAAATATTTAGCATGGTACTGCCTGGGCCTGCTCAAATCCAGTGCTCATACTGTCTAGTGGGCGCTGATTTCTATACCCCTGCCGACAATCTGACATGCTGCCGTCAATGTCTGTGTCAGGCCTTCTCCAGCTGCCAGATCAACCCAATGCTTCCACTGCATGAGGCAGCCCCAGAACTTACCAGCTGGAGCCAACCTTACAGTGGGTTCCCCTTCATCTTCTTTTTCTACCTTTCAAAATCTGTCTTTACATTCATCTATTCTTCTCTGTTCCCTGTATCAGAGGGAATGCGGTTTCACCTGTGCTTTTCGTCATATTTCCTGCTTTGCTGTACTCTAGCCACCCTGCACTGTGGATCTTAAATTTCTTCTTCTTCCCTTTAGCTTTGACATGCTCCATCCATCCTAGACCTTGCTGAAGCTTTAGCTTCTTCCATCCCCTCCTCCTTTTTACTATCAAACATGTAAACCAAATGTTGTAACCGTATCTTTCCACTTCATCCTAATCACCTTTTGATCCCATTCTCACTCTTCTTTGATAAAATTGCGTTTTCAAACGGCAACCAAGACACCTCTTCTTGGAATACAATGGCCTTTACTCAGTATTCATTCTCTTCAAATGTTCATAACAATAACAAAACTTTTAATGAATTCTCTTTGTTAGAACATTCATTTCCCTTCTTTTCCAGGACTGAAGTCAACATAGCCTTTTCCATTAATTCGTAATCATGATCTTGGGGAGATTACGTAAATCCTCTGAGCCTCAACTTACTCACAGGTAAAATTAGGGTAATAAAATTCCTTCCTCAATGAGTTGTTGTGAAGCTCATGTTCCATGTCATCAGCTACCATATATCAAGCTCTAATTGTGACCTTGGCGTGCTGATACACACACACAGACACACACACACACACACATACACACACACACACACACATACACACACGACATTGTATATATATAATCTCACTTAACACTGACAACCACTCTGTAAATTAAACATTATTTCTATGTTATAGATGAAAAACTAAAATGTCCAGAGCTTAACCTATGAGTATGTGCTCAGTCACAAAGTCAACATTTATTAGAAATATGATTCCAAATAAATTCCACTGGGCTCCATGCCCATATTCTTAACTAATGGATTATATTGCTTCCCAAAGAGATGAAAGAGTCAAAATTTTAGGAAGTCACACAGTGTCATTTATTATCAGCATATTATCTTTTGTAGAGACTGTGTTTCAGACTGTATGAAAATAAACCTGCCAAGCAAAGCACTGGTGAGCAGAGCCCGTGGCCTTGCCCCAGGTTTCCCTATCATGTCCTGAAGCTCAGTACACAAACTACAGCCATTTGGACAATGGTGCCTGCATGATACAGTTTACAAGCTAATGTCAGCAACCCAGAGCAGAGATTCTTGGCTCACCAATAGTAATAATAACAGTCACAATGACAATTACACGCACTGCACTTTAGAACACTTTCACGTAAGTGATGCGAATTATGTGAACTCTACTGTGGAAAGCAATAGTTCTCACTTAACAAGGGATGGAACTAAGACTCTGGGATGGTTTCTGTGTCATTTGCCATTTATTTCCAGTTCTCCCCCATCTGATCTTCGAAGGACAAAGTAAGATCACACTTCATAACCTCCATTGTTGGGCCCTGCCATGTGATGGTGAGGGAAAGTGACAGCGGTGTCATTTCTGGGCTAGAAAACTTAATTGTAGAAAAGGGAATCCCTCAAAAACACCTCTTCACTTCCCCTTGACAATGAATAACATTCCAAATAGTGACAGCTCTGCCCATTTGATCCACTGAAGTCAGTGCTGCACCATCAGCTGACCACCATACCTGCACAGCTTGCGTAAAAAAATAAACTTGTATTAAGTCACAGGAATCTCAGGGTTATATGTTACCACAATATAACCAGGTCTTCCTGATTGCTACAGGCTCACAGCACAGAAGTGACTTACCCAGGATCGCATAGATAGAAAATGTCAATGCTTTTCCCCAGATTTCTTAAATGCTGAAGTCATTATTCCTTCCACTAGGTCCCAGCTTGCTTCATAGGTTTATTGCCTCAAAAATAAAACAATATTTCCCAGAAGCCAAAATATAAACATAAGTGTGATCTGTCTAATCTGAGTTTAATATCCTCTATTTTTGTGAAACAAAGAAAGTTTGATATTTTCCTTTATTTCATAACTAGGCCAAGCAGCCTACACTTAATTTTTTCTACTAAATTAAGTTTAGAATTCTAAGTCACAGTCCCAACCTCTAGGGCAGACAGAAAAATACTTCTCACCTCACATAATTAATGTGTTGGTCAGATAGGAAGTAGCAATTAAGTGACAAGGACTGCAGCCCAACCCAGGGTGTGACATTGTGCTTTGAGAGCCTCTCAAAGCCAGCACTGACTCTGGATGACCTCATAGGAAAGGTGGAGAAGCCAAGCATTGCCATATAAACATGGCCCCTTCCCAAGGACACGGCTGGAGCAGTTGTTGTGACAGCTCCTAGCAGCCCCTGCATCACAGCCGCCTCCACCATGAAGGTCATTGGGGGTCTCCTTCTTCTCTATGCAATGACCTGCTTCTGCAGCAGCTCAGGTGAGTTAAAGCTAGGCAGTGCCTTGCTTAATGGCCATTAAGCCTGTTTTTCCAAAAACCTCTCCTGGGATGTGAGCATCTGAGAGGAATGTCTGGTCGTGTGGATTTAAAGTCTACTGGCTTAGAATTGAAAGCATACTGAGTTAGAATAGAAACAGCCCTGGCCTGGAAAGGGAGAGCCTTACGGCTCTGCTAGAGTTTGGGGATTTGGGTCTAGTGTCTTCCCTTTCAAGGACTTTTATTTCTATCCACGGAACAAAGAAATGAACTAGTTTCTTCCTAAGTCTACCATTTCATAAGGACACTGGAAGTTGTTAGATACTATTCGATACTATTCCTGTTTTTAGATTACTATTCCTTGGTGCAAAGATGCAGAAAAACATGGCCGCCTCTCAACATCAATCCAGGAAGATCGACATAAAACACAATTCTCCAAAGGCCAGGAGTCCACAATTAGACTTTTATATGATTGAAAAAATTGCTTAAATAAAATAGTATTCTAACACCTTAAAGGCATTCCATTCCATTCCTTTAAACCAGTTAGGAGGGGGAGAATATCAAAGATGATGCTTCCAGTTCTTAGGAATGGTGGCTGCAGTACTGCCTATTGCTGTCTGACTTTGAACCATTATCAAAGACACAATGAACTCCAGAAAACATCCCATGGTAATGAAGGGAGGAAATTTGGATAATTCTTTTGCCTGAAACAAAGGCTTAACTAACCCATTGGCTATTTGGCTTCCTCTGAAAATAGTTGGAACTTTGTGTAAGGATGGGGTGTGTGCATAGACTCACTGCCAGAGGAAATTTAGTCTTAATCTACAGGATCACATTTACATTAATTAATGAGGTTCAAGCCTTTGTTTTGTTTTTAACATTTCCACTTGAATCTCTCTTTCAGAAGCTGCTAGTCTGCCTATCACTACGGTGAGTGTACTGAATTGCATGTTCATTTCAATTCCTGTTGACCGTCATTTAGTCAACAGATACTTATGACATATACATGTAGGATTAATTCAATATGGTTAGGGGGTAAAAGGTAAAGACAGACACAGATAAAGAAATCTCCTCTGCTGTTTGAAGAAATATGACATTCATATACAGTAACCATAGCTTTGAAAAGTATTCCAGACTTAAATGAGAAAGAGATGACTTCCAGCTGAGAGATTGGTGGAGCCTTCATGGAAGGCACGCCATGTGAGAGGCAGGACCTTGGTGAATTGCACCGACTCTGGATTCAAATCCCAATGCTGCCACTGTCTAGCTTTTATGTTATACAAATGCTCTCTTTTAAGCCTTTATGTCTCGCATCTGTAAATAAGGACAATAACAGTAGAACCTACTCTATTCAGTTGTTCTGAAGGTTAAACAAAGAAAATTCATATAAGATTTAAGTTTAATGCCTGGCATGGAAATGCTCAGGAATGCACTAGTAATAATAGAAGAAGCACTAGTGGTACTATTATTGGTCATAGTGGTAATACTACTACTGATAGAAGTGGCCCCAGCTGCATCACAATATTTGAGCTGGGACTTCGAGGGTGGTATTTTGCTTCCCGTACAATAGAAGCTGGGACATCCTAGCTTGGGGGCCAGGAGAAAAGCAGGACATTCATTTGTGTCTTTCACAGGTGGACTGCAGCATTTACAAGAAGTACCCAGTGGTGGCCATCCCTTGCCCCATCATATACATGCCTGTTTGTGGTTCTGACTACATCACCTATGGGAATGAATGCTTCTTGTGTATCGAGAGCTTGTGAGTATCATGGGGAAGAAAAAGAAGCTGGGGCCAGTGTCTTCCACTGTAAACCTCTCCTCTTTCCGTGAGCCTGCTTAACTCTCCAAAAACTGGCTCCCGGAAGTAGATGGTAGAGAAAGAAAACTGGCTCCCTCAGAGCCAGACCAGGGTTGGGCCACCATGTCTGCCAGGTTGGACCAGTCGCATCCATCACAGAACTTCTAATTCCTGTCATTATGGTAATCCAACAGGACCATGAGTTTCCAAATAGCTGTCCCAGAGCCCAGAGGTGCTGTCAGGAGTCACCAGCAGGATTAAGGGGATCAGTTGGAGGTGGTCTCCAACTCCAAGTTCAGCTTTTGACTATTTTAAGTAGTGGAGTTCCACACAATATCGTGTTTGAAACAAGGATCGTACATACAGAGAACAAAGCAATGTCGCCAGAGGGGAGGGGGTTGGAGGTCAGGGTAAAAAAGCCAAAGGGATTAAGAAATACAAATTGGTAGTTATAAAATAGTCACCAGGATGTGAAGTACAGCATAGGGACTATAGTCAATAATGTTGCAACAACTATGTATAGTGCCAGATGGGTACTAGATTAATCAGGGGATCACTGAATAAATTATGTAAATGTCTAACCACTATGCTGTACACCTGAAACTAATAAAATAATACTGAATGTCAGCTATAAATGAAAAAAAATTAATAAAAAGGAAAACAAGAAATAAAATTTTCAAAAAAAAAATTTTCTTAACTAATTGAAATCCACTATCCTACATGACTTCTTTTTTTTTTTAAAGATTTTATTGGGGAATTGGGAGAGGGGAACAGCATTGAGGAATCAGAGAAGGGGAACAGACAAGTTGCTGTCCTTTTGTTCTTCAGTCTAGTTGTGGAGGGCATCACTTCACTGGCCCATGTTGGTATTATCATTGCGCTCTTCCCAGGTGAGGCAGTCGCTCGCAGTCCATTGGACGGCCACTCACGGCGGTTCACGGCAGCTCACGCCCACTGCTGGCCAGCCCCACTTCAGCCTATGCCATCGCTGGCAACTCATGGCAGCCCAGCTCTAGGTCGAGCTATTATTCCCCATCTTAGCTGTAGAGGGTGCTGCACCACTGGCTCTCATGTGGGATCTGAACTGGGGCCCTGCTGCTCAGAACTGGCATCCCAAGCCAACTCTTAACCAAAGTGCCACTCGGCCGACCCCTACATGACTTCTAAGAGGCAGTAACACAGCTTGTTCCTTGGACAAACTGTGGCTAGAGGGTGCTTATCCTCAATTTCCTAATGTGTCTAAATATCTGTAGGCTTAAGGGAGAGAGAGGGGACAAAGCTATGGCAAAGATATATTTTTCTTTTATCTAAAATAGGGGGATGTAAGCTGCCAGCACTTGGACCTAAATCCCATGGACATGTTTTGTTGAGGTATTCGGTTTGACCTGCACAGTGGTTTTTGAAGACAATACAACTAGGAAGATGTGACTTCTTTGGTGCAGAACAGGCCACTTAGCATTTATTGTTTTACAGCAAGTCTAGTTTGTTCATTATTAACTCTGTTTTAGACCACTGGATTTTGGGCACATCTTAGATCTTGTGTTTTTCATCTTTGTGATTATCTTAAGTTAGAATATCGGGTTAGGCCCTGAGACCACAAGGATAGGTCTACATATTTATTCCTGCGCAGTAACATTGATGTCACAAGAGGGAAGCTTTGCCACCATGCTCACATGCTGGGCCCTGGGCCTAGAAACTAGCTTGTATTCAAGGGCACTGAAGGGGACGTGTGGAGGAAGTTGTCAGTGATGCAGGATCCAGCCTCATTACGGGTCCTGCTGACCAGGAAAGACTGAGGGGCAGGCCGCTGCTACTTCCCTCGTCAGAATCCCTCCTTCTCTGTTGTTTTAAGACATTGGGTGTTCACCTGGGCCCAGGGAATCCGTGGAAGCAACAGGTGGGGTGAGGTGTCACTGGGCGAGGGAAATCCTGCTTCTGCCTCCATCAGAAACTGCCTGTGCCAAGCACATTTCTTCTCCGAGACACAGTTACCTCACCTGCAGAATGAGGTTTTGCCTCGTAATCTCTATAGTCCCTTTCAGCTCTATTTTACAAAATTTCCTCTTGCACTAATGAATCTTGTTAACTGTGTCTTCCCGTAGGAAAAGTTATGGAAAGGTTCAATTTCTTCATGAAGGAAGATGTTAACGTCTCCATACATGTGGCTGCAGAGCGAAGCTAATCTTCGGTGTCATCTTCATCGTCCCTGGGCTCTGACTGACTTCTCCCTCACCATGGCCAAGGTTCTGGGGGGCGGGGCAGGGTGGGGGTGAGGGTGAGGGCAGTGACAGATGCAAAGTCATCCCTGTTAAAGTGAAGAAAGTTGTGCACACTTTCAAACTCATGCCTAACTGACTGAATGGCTTCTTTTTGCACCTCATTAAAAGAATTTCCCCAGAGACTTTTCTTTTTTTTTAATTTTTGTTAAATTTATTGGAGTGACATTGATTAGTAAAATTGCATAGGTTTCAAGTGTACAGTTCTGTAATACGTCATCTGTATATTGCAGTATGTTCACCACCCAGAGTCAGCTCTCCCTCCATCACCATATATTTGACCCTCTTTACCCTCTTCTACCACCTTCTTCCCCTCCCCCATTACCCTCTGGTAACCACCAAACTGTTGTCTGTGTCTGTGAGGTTTTGTTTGTTTGTTTGTCTTGTTTATTTTTTACTTCCAGTTTTATATCCCACGTATGAGTGGAATCATATGGTTCTTGACATTTTCTGTCTGATTTATTTCACTTAGCATGATAACCTCAAGATCCTTTATCTTCTGTTTGAATTACTTTCTTAGATCAGGATAATATCTCAATTTGCAAAGAACACTGAGGCACATATAAATTTGGCTGTTCAGGAGAATGTTTTGTCCAAGGAATCCAAAGTGGATTCCAAGAAACACACGCACATGTGTGCGTGTGCGCACACATACACACACACACACACACACACACACACAAATATACATATGTGATCACACATGGAATGATAGAATGGAGTTCAGTCCAATTAAAGCTCAAACTCTCAAGGGGGAGATAAGCATGAATTAGAAAATAATTATACACTCTAATAAATGCTGTGATATAAGTTTACACTAGGTACTATATTGGAGTAATCTTTCTGTAGGGTAAATCCAATTCTATTATGTCTCTATTCAAAATCCTTCATTGGTTACCCATTGCCTACAGGATAAAAATCCAGACTCACAAGCATAGCACTTCTGGCCCGGCCTCTACTTCTCCCATTACCTCTGAAGAACGCAGACTTTAACCGCCCCCCAAGCTCCCAGGCCTCTGTGTCTACATATGCACAGCTTCTTCTGCTGGAAATGGCCTCATGCTTCTGGTTTCAGCTCAGGTCCCTTCTCTGCATTTGGTTTGGCAGAAAAATGGCTGAGGAGTCAGCAGTTGATTTATAAACCAGTTCTGTCACTTGCACGTTATATAACTTTGGGCAGGTACTTAAACCCTATAGGGCTTTTGTAGTGATAATTCAATGAAATAACACAAAGCACCTTACATGTGACAAATACACAAATAAATATTATTACCTTTTCCTGACAACCCACTACACTCACTCATCTGTTGTTTTATAGCATTTTGTATACTATAGTACGGTATATACTAGTGATCAGTATAATGCTTGATTTATGGTTAGTATTTCACAAACATTTCTAAATTGCTATGAGGCCATAGAGGAAGGTGAGTCTAATTCTGTCTGGGGTGTTGAGGAAGCCTCCTCTTGAGATGTAATTCATCTGAGTAAGTGTGGGTTGGGTAGAGGACAAGTAATTCCAGGTAAAGAGAAAGTGAGTACAAAGGCATAGAACTTGGAAAAAAATGCATAGGAATTAATTACTGAGTACAACTTCTCAATTTGTAAAAATATACATTGAACATCTACCATGCTCATATTTAAAACCAAACTCTTAATCTCAGCTGCCCAACTTGCTCCCCCAACAGCATCCCCCATCTCAGGAAACAGTAACGCCAAACAGCAGTTGCTCCAACCAAAAGTGTCAGAGGCTTCCATGATTCTTCTCTTTCTCTAACTCCATATCTCATCCATTAGCAGGCTCAGTTGGCTCCAATGTTAAAATATCTGCAAAATCTAATCACTTTTCACTACTTTGGAATCACCTACCCTAGTTAAAGTCTCCATAATCTTGTACCTGCACTACTGCAAAACCCTCAAGATTGGAGCTTTGGGGAGCATCAATAAATCCACGGCAAAGGCGACAGACATAAGAAACTGAATTTGGTATTTTTGGATGTATAATTAGCAAAGGCACAGTAATTAATTGAAAATGTTTAGTGAGAGAGGTGAAGGTATTTAATGGCATGTAGTTATGCACACCTTGGTCAGATTATTCTAGTTTCTGGCTTGGGTAATCAGGTGGGTATTGAGACAAATTCTTTATGTTAAGGGTGTCTTACATATTAAAAGCTTAATTTGTTTGTAATATTGGAGTCACTTTTAGTTAGGAGAGCTAGCTTATGAATATCTGTTGGTAAAAAATACAGATAGAGGCTATTCTCACATTCAATGAAGGAATCTCCTCTGTAGGGTTCCTGAAAGTTAGTCACCTGGTCTCCAATGGGACAGTTAAAATGATATGATTCCCATCACCTCTAGTCATTAGCAGACACCTCAGACCATCACAAAGTTCCTTTTCCTGTCATGCCAAGATCTATTATTTCCAGTAAGGCCACAAAGATCCATCCCTTGCTTATTTTAAGATGGTTGCTAAGTGCTTTCTTAATGTTTTCTTCTCCAGATCACTGTCACCATCATCCTCTTCATTATCATGGTCATTGTCATCAAAAGTAACATTTGTTGAGAGCTTAAAATATGCCAGACCCAAAATGAGTGCTTTATATGCAATCTCATTTAGAATTCACAACAAGCTTATGATGACAGTGCTATTATTAAATTTATTCCGGAAGCTTGTTAAAGAAAAATTATTTGACACTTGTTAAAATGGCAAGAAAGACATTATTCAGGGTATAGCCTTGAATACCCCTAATACAATAGGGGAAAGCAATTGGGCTCAGCTCCAAATATAAATGGGGATTTATAGCTAAGAAGCAGAATGATGAAGTTAGTAGATGGAAAATTACTAACAAGAAATAAAAAGGGTAGGAGGATTCTTGCTAAACTGGATCAACAGAATTCTTGCTAAAGGTAGGCCAAGGGCTTCTTATACATTACAGGTGGGAGATGAAGAACTTGATTAGATAGTGAGGATGATTAAATATCAATAGTAGTGGGGTTTACTTAGCAGGGTTCTATGTTAAGACCTATGCTAAGAGCTGGGCAGGCCAAAGACATAAGGTGCAGGGGAAGGCCAGGGTTAATTAAGGTCAAGACGTAGTCAGAAGAGGACTCCGAGGAGCCTAGCTCAAGTTTGGTCAAGGAGCGCGTCTTTGTCAAGCTACAATGAAGACAGTGGCAAAGTTTCTCATTAATCATGATATGTTCAAGTTGTAATATGGCCTCTAAGCCAGAGTAAATGCTCATACTTACAAGATGTTCAAATGAAGATAAAGAAACTAAGGATTCTAGCAGTGAAATAACTTGCACAAGGTCACATAGGGAATGGTGGCGCTGGCAATGAACTCATGTCTGCAACTCATGTTCTCAGCTCTCAATAATGTTATGGCTTCCCTCTCCCTTCTCAGACCAACCCAACATGTTTCAGCTGTCTTTATCCTTTGGAAGGGACACAAATGTGGATTTTAGTTTCCCAGCCTTTGGCATTACTTCCGTGAGCAGTACAGACAATGTCTTCCAACTCTATCTACCAAAACTGCAAGAGCTGATTCCACTGTCTTCTCATAGAGCCACTCTATTTGAGAATTGGCACATTCTAAAATGAGTGTCCTTGTAGCCTTTATCAGAGGTTTCAAATGAAGCATGGTTTGCAGAAAGCACAAATTTAAACCGTCACCAAATGATTGACAGCTGGTTTATTGGAAGGTATTGTATTACAGGAAGATATCACTGGCCATGTATGTAACTATGGCCCAGGGCAAAGTTAACATCTTATTTTTGAACCATCAGTCTGTGTTTGGAAACTAGAGAATCATGGCCAAAGCTTCAGGGACAGTTCGGCCACTGCAGCTACTAGACCTATTCTTGGTTAAAATGGCTACAAAGGTCTTTATTATTGGCCTTGAGGGGGCCTTCTCCTAAGGGCCCTTGATAAAGCTTCCACCAGCTAAATGTGTGAGTGCTCACCAACTTCATCCATTCTACCATCTCCCCAAATTTGGGATTCTTAGGAAAACTATCTCCCATAAAGAGTATGAATCATGTCTTGTTTCTGCGAAATCAAGATTTGGGTTTTGGGCCTTTTCTCTGTGCCGTCTGGGATCTCAACTGGCAACACTTCCCATTTGATCCTGGGGAAGAAAGGAAAGGGGAACCTGGGAAAATGTCAAAACCTGTTAAATTACCATGCCGATGACTGTTCCTGGAGAAAACAATACAACAAAGAACACACAGTAAACCCAGTGAAATTACTTCCTTGTATCTTCACTTCCTCGTCCATAAAACAAGGAAAACGGTAATAACTTTGACACATTTGTTATGAAGATCAAATTATTGCAACAGATATGAAAGCGCTCGAAGTTTTGAGGACATAAAGAGGTAAAGAAATAAGGCCAGCTTTTTCAGGTCCTATGATCTAGAAAAATGTCATGTAAAGTCATCTGGCTTTCACAACGAAAGAGTTTCTGACCTTGTCCCAGGATTCTGTTTCTGGAAATAGCTATCTCACTCTTGAGGCAGGAACTCTTGACAATATATAAGTTAGCACCCAAGTGGGTTTGGCAGACACCAGAGAGTTACTTCTTTTGCCTCCATCTGACTGCCCTCGACCACTTCAGCAGCATGAGAGCAACAACAGCCTTTGTCCTCTTGGCTCTGGCACTTACAGCCATCTTCAGTGAGTATCCCCCTCATAACACTGCCCTTGCCCTGATACCAACAGCTCACATCATCTTCTTCCCACTTCTGGGATATACACATCATCTAGATAATAAGCAAAGCTTTTTTAAATGCATTTTTTTCCTCCTCCACCAATAAAGCACTAAATCGTATCATCTCAGGCACTGAGCCGATGTAAATGGCCAATGCTTATCCATATGCTTTGTGTAACTTCTTTGGGACTTGTTCATCCAGACTCTGCTCTGACTTGAGAGCATTATTTATGAGGACCTTATTTCTTCATAAAATAGTCCACTCCATTGTTTGGCAGCATGAACTATTATTTTCTTTCCACTGTTGAGTTAAAATATGACTCTTTAGAATTTTCGACCGTGGGTCCAACTTCCGCCATCTATGCCTGCTGCATAAGAGCAAACACGTCCTAAATATAAAATTTGCTGTTTTTTGGGGTTTTCTGGTTTTTGGTTTTTTTTTCAAAATTTCCTAAGCTCTGATCATGAGGTAGGAAAGAATAAGACAAACTCCTCATTATTATAACAGCTTTTCCATCCTTTTGGCTACACTCTAATCCTGCTTCAAAAAAGAAAAAGATCTGTGTTGAGCTTCAACCTTTGATATGTGCTGATACACAGCTCTGAAGAGAGTCGTATTTTTATGACAGATTGAGAGCTAAAACATAAAGATTATTTTTCTAATAAGATTGGGTTCTTCCAGAGTTTAATTTTTTATGTACTTTTTTTCTTACAGGTGTAGAATGTGAGCTACAGGATCAGCAGGTCAGTGCATCCATCTTGATATGAAAGTCCTACTTTTATTTACTTTTAAAGCCAGCATCAGTAAGGAAATTTTTTGGCATTTTATGCTCATATAATTACATCTTTACATGTTTGAAGATTTAAGTATGAAAACTGCGTTTATTTCAAAAACTGTAGATAGACCTTCCTAAAATGGAGACGATGAAGCAAAATGATCGGACACCTACCACGAGACTTACAAAGTCCTGGTCTTCAATTTCAGCTCTTTGAGCATGTGGCCATGGGCAGCAGTACCTGCCTCATAAGATTATTATGAGACTTAAAACCACAGTGTTTGAAAACGTGTTTAGCACAGTACCTAGTACATAGTAAAACTCAGTAAGAACAAGCCATGATTCTTACAACTTTTAAATAGGTCACACACACCTTTGTTCTCTATATTAAAGAAGGAAGATTTTGATTTAAGCTTTCCTTTATGGCTCATATTAAGTAATGTCTATTGTTGAGAAAATCTAGGTGGGGTTATAAAAACTTGAAACCAGCAGTCAGGCAATTTGGGTTCTAGTCCAAGCTTTTTAGCTCTGTGGCCTAAGCCCCTCCTTTCATTTCTTTGAGTCTTTAACCTACTAAAGAAAATAATAAGATTAAGAACATAAATTTCAGCCCCCGACAGGGCTGAATTCCATCCATCCTTCATGATTTGGTAGCTGTGTGAGAATGAAAAGTGTTCATGAGTTTTAAGCCTTGGTAGTTTCCCGGTCATATTGTGAGTATTTCATCAATTCTGGCACTGGGGGTTGAGCAGGTGAGAGGAAGTGAATTCATGTTGCCATGTGCGCATCCTGGGGCGCTACAGCTTCTCTTCTGTTCCATTAGCCTCTGAGGTCCTTCTGCTGTTACGCCATACTTACTGACCTCTGTACTGTCAGCACTCAGCTCAGCTCTAAAACTTAGAAGGTTCGTGGAATATAGTAACTGAAGGAATGAATAAATGAATTACAGATCTGAAGGGGAGGAGGAATTCAACTTTAAGTCTGAGCATATTTCAGATTATCCAAGTGGAGATAGTCAACAATTAGTAAAATATCCTGGCTGGAACTCTGGGACAGAAAGAGCCAGAAATACAGCATCTTCTGTATAGAGCTGGAGTTTGTGTAGACCTGGAAGTAAAGCCAAGGAATGGAAATAATAGCTATTGTTTATTTATTATTTTCTATGCTCTGTAGTGCTAAGCACTTGACACATATCTTCTCAGTTATATATTGTTTACTTTAATCCTACAAGGCAAGTGTATCACCTTCATTTTGCAGATAAAGAAACTAAGGTGTAGAGAGGTAAGATAATTGTCCCAGGGTCATGTAGTCAGGATTTGGATTCCAATGTGTTTGACTTTACTGTCCACACTATTCAATTTGCTCATAGATGAAAGACCCAGAAAATTTTTTCTTGGTAGTCACCTACTTGCTCTCATAAGTGGCTCATCATCTTGGCTATGCTCCAGGAATTTCACATAGTGGTTCTCAGCTACAATGTTAAAATATATCTGTCTATCCATGTGCTGGTGAAGTGTATAACAAGTAATTTGTTACCAACACTTCATAAAAGTTGCCAATGACATATTTCAGAGGTTAGATGAGGACAGACAATTGGAATAAAAAACAAATGCATTGAGAGCCTTCTGAACTTGCTTGAAAAAGTCTAAATCCTGGGACTAAATATTTGGTTGAAGGAATTGGGGATTTTTAATATGTATTTCCAGGTTGACTGCAGTGAGTATAAAAAGTTACCGCCAGGAGAAGAGAGAGTTTGTTTTAGAACATATGACCCAATTTGTGGGTCTGATGGCAAAACTTATTACAATGATTGCACCTTCTGTTCCGAAGTTGTGTAAGTATTGAAATAGCTTTCTTTTCTATATTTAAGGTATAATAATTATGTGTTAAGACAAATATACCTTAATTCAAAGAAGTGGGTTAGGATACAAGAATATGTGAATCATCTCGTATTAGTTGACTCTGATAAACAGAATTCTCACAATTTATAGGACTTGGGAGTCCCTGGTGTCATGTATATCCCTACGTATTCTGGCAGTAAGAGTCAATCAGAGAAGCCTAACATCTCTAAGTTGGAAGACTTAAGAGTCAACTAGTTCAACTTCCACCTACTAATTTATTGCTTAAACTTCTACAAAAAAGCCACCAAGTCACTTCACAGTCTATGCTGGGTTATTTCCAGGGACAAGGAACATCCCTCCTTGTAGGCATGCCAGTCTAGATCTATTAAAACAAGCCATGTTTATTGTTGAGCTTCAACAACAAAGTTTGAATATGGTAAAGCCCCCTAGTCATTGGGACAAAAGGGGGACAATAGCTGGAAAACCTAAAGAACCTGTTCAGCTTCAGAGTATGACTTCTCAACGAAATGTATGTTGGAGTGCTAACAAAAATTAAATTTAGAAAATCAAATAGCCAAAAGTAGTTTAAAGGTTACAAAGGAATAATGCAAAGTAAGATATATTTACATCAGCTCAAAAAAATTTAAATAACGAATGATAGATATACTAGAATGTATAGAAACATCTAGTTCCTTTTAAGCATTTTGAAAACATGAATGAAAATAAACATCTAATATATATGGCATTTTATTCTGATTATTTATTAATTAGAAAAAATATAATCTTGTATGAAAAGAAGTATCTAAATGTGTGTCCCCTTTAAATTAAAAAAAATCCATTAAATGTTTGCAGGGACATAAGCAGTGAAATATTTAGAGCATTATCTTTATATCATCAGCACCAGTTGCTAACATGTTTCTAAAATGCAGTCACTCCTCTAAAAACCATCAATAAGTGGAAAGACTTGGGTACATTTTCAGCCGTTCATTGGTGAATTCTGATGCTAATGAAATGCCTGTGGCCTCAGCGTTTCTCATTTGTTACTATTTTCTCTCCACAGGGATACTAACAACAAACTTAAGTTTGTACACTTCGGAGAGTGTTGAATCTACCTTGTGATTCCAATTCACAAGAGACATTTCTTCTCCCATATAATCTTGCCACTATTACATCCTGATTTCTCTGTAGAATAAAGTAGACCTAAGTGAAATAACCATGCCGGACACTTTTTGTTTAGGAATTGAATCTTCTAGATTAATTTCACTTTTGGGGTGATGTCTAATAGACCATGGTAGGGCCACATTCTGGGAGGTGAGGGAAGGGCTAATTAAGACCAATAACAGGAAACAGAAAATCAAAGGACCTGAAGCTGATGTCTTCTTCTCTTTCAAGTTAGGAAAACATCTCTGAAAAGTTCTGCAAAGTAGTTTTTTTAAGAACTACTTAGTTCTGAAATGTGAACAAGAAGGTGTTCAATTAATGCTTTTTGAATTAACTAAATTAAGTTAAAATGAATTGAATTTTACTTCTATCAACAAATAAACAAGTAATACGGTGTCTTACCCCAGGTGACCCGGAGGTCAAATATCTGGCATTTGAATGGATAGCTTTCTAATGTACGGAAAGCAGTGTTTGCCTCCTGCACCAACCCAAACTCAGAATTGCTTCTTCTAGTTCCCATAAAAAGCAGCCACAGACACACAAGTGATAGAGAGCAATGAACGCTTTTCTAGAGATTGTGGGGGAGTGATCAAGATGGCGGTTGCCTTGCCCACCCACAGCCTGAAACGCCTCATTACATTCCTACCTTCTACAGTCATATCTTGCTACACCACCCTGCAAATCTGTGTCATGTGTAACATGAAAAGAGAATTGCCATGTAGTTTTAAAGATGCACAAATAAAATAAAACAAAAACAATGAAATACATTGGCAAAACCTGTTACTGGAAGTGAAGCCTACTCAAAATCTAAGAAATCTCACTCTGTCTCCTTTTTAGTTAGTTCTTCCTCATGTTTATGGATAGCAGGCATTACCACACCCAGTAAACCAGCCCTTCTGGAATAGGCAACTCCTGTCTCTCAGAGAACAAAGTTAAGCCGAAACATTCACTTTGGAATTTTAATGAACAATAAGAGTACAGATCACCTAAATGGAAGCCAGATCTACAAATACATGTCTTATCAAAACTCAGACACATGGATGTATCCTGAAAACTTCAGAAGGGAAAAAAAAGCCCCGAATCAACATAAAATTAAGCTTTTTAAGAGTGCCTGCTTAAACACTGGCAAAGAATTATTAGAGTTCTGAAAGAGGCTTCTGGAGAGTTCAGGAAACTACCTGATCATTCCTAGTTGCTTCTTTCCTCAGAAGTGAGGCATTGAATGCTCACAAATAGGCTCAGAGGTTACAATAGTTAAGGCTGGGCCCAGGCAAGCCCTGAGTGACTCACCCAAGAAGAGGCCTGGGCCTGGGTTTTCATTCTCCCTGTGCCCAGTTCCCGAGTCTCATTCCACATGTGTAAGACCTCTCAGCTCTGACCAACAGCTGCTACCCCCGCCTGAGGCTCCTGCCTCTCTAACCCGCCGAGTAGCCGGATCCTCTGGTTCTTTGCACTTCCTGGGTGTGCTCATCGCTTCTTTTCCCCTCTCCACTTGATCTCTTCAAGAAATGGAGTCCAGTAGCAGACACCCCCAAATACTGGCAGACTTCTGTTGTGGTGCTTGCCTCCCTGGTCGCCCTATCTCTGTTATGGCTGCCTGCCTGGGTTCCAGTTATCACTTGTTCATGAGGTCCACGGATTGCCTGAACTACCATGCTTTCTGCCATACCCTGTAGATATTAATGCGTCCACCCTTTCAGATGGAAATTATCTGGTTAGAAAGGCTTAAGACGTATAACCATTGGTTAAGAGGGTGGTCATTTTGCAATATATACAACTACCCACTCATTATGTTGTACATAGGAAACCTACATAATATGTCAGTTGTGCCTTAATTAAAAAAAAAAAACCTGCATAAAAATAAAAAAAAAAAACCTAAGGAAATAAAAAAAATAAAAATAAAAAAAAGATGGGGGCTTTGGAGATAACCCTGGGCTCAAATCTAGGGTAGCCTTGAGTTAGTGGTTTAACATCTGAGTTTCAGTTCCTGAGCATCAAAGTGAGGGCAACAGAAGTTCCTTAGGGACGGGCATGAGCCAATGGGCATACAGTGCATAATATTGTGCCTGGCACATAATTAGCAAATGATGAGTGACTTAAAAAATACAAACAGCTAAAACCTGTAGTTGTCCTAAGCTTGTCCCTTAAGCACAATGGATGGTCCTATTTTAGGTCTGGCCCCTCACTGTCTTCTCCCCAGTCCCACCCTATCACCCCTGGCTGACCCCTTTCTGAGAGACAGCACCACTAACCTTCTGTTAGAGCGGAGGGTCACTGTTACAGCCACACAGGTCAGCAAAGTGGTTTGAGTGCAATGAAATGGAAACACACAGCCTCCCATAAGGGATTTTGGAAAGACTTTAAAAGTTATCCTCAGTTTTGGTAAAATAAAAAAAAAAAGAAAAAAGATATATTTTCTGGTTTTAAGGTCCTTGAGAACAGGGAATTGGGTCCTGTTCATCTTTGTGCCTCAGATGGACATTCGTTTGTTTCTCTGACTTATAGCAGGCAGTGCCTCACATATATGTACAAGTATATGTGATTTTTGACATGGAGTAGAGTGCGGGAACGGATTCAATGGAATTGTAATAGATAAGCATGATATGGGGGTGAGAGGGCAGTGGATGGGGGGAGGGGGGTTGTTACTTTGTGAGGGTGAAAAGGGTAACTATTGCATTGTTCTGTACACCTGAAACTAACAATAAAAAAATTAAAAAAAAACACACACATCAAAACGAACTTAGATTCAATTCACTCAAAGCCTTGTATTTGACATCCTAATGGTATTGAGAGCCTCACACTAATTTTGCAGTGCCTGAAAATTACAATAGGGACCTGTGTTATTTAGCAAATGGCAGAGAGCAGGAGAACCAGCTTAGTTCCCCCACAGATGGAGGGATTGTTCGAGCGACTGTGGTTGTGTAGCGTCCTTGCTGGAGGAGAAGGCAGAGCAGAATTAGTTGGGAGCTGGCAGCCTGAGTTAGGGAGATAGGGAAGCGGCATAGAACAGGTTTCAGATACAGCTTGTGCTATTTATTTATTTTTTTCTCTTGTGAACTATGACAACAAATTTTTTAAGTTGATTTTTACTGTTGGTGTTTTTCTAAAGAACAAAGTTCTTTGGGGTTTTTTTAAATTTTTATTTTTAAAGTATGTTGATATACAATATTACATTTGTTTTAGGTGTACGGCATAGTGATTGATCTTTATATACCTTATGGCGTGATCATCATGATAAGTCCAGTAACCATCTGTCACCATTCAAGGTTATTACAATATTGTTGGCCATATTTCCTGTGCTGTATATTACATCCACATGACTTATTTATTTTGTACCTGGGAGTTTGGATCTCTTATTCCCCTTCACCTTTTTTGCTACCTGTGCTATTTCTTAAACTGCATGATAGACATATGAGCATTTGTGTTGTTCAATTAACATTATGATTAGTATCATTTAAATTGTATATGTATATTATTTATACCCTTTTGCATGTATGATATATGACAAAATAGAGGAAAGAGAAGGAGGGGGACAAAGATAAATGCAGTAGGTACTCGCAAGTATAAACTGGCCTTGAATTTGAGATTTGTGAAGCGAAAAGCATCCATGTTGGCCTTTCAGGCATTCTCTTCCTTCTCCAATATCTGCTGGCATCTGACACTTTTTCCTCAAGGACAGAGACTTACTCTTCTCCTAAAATGGTCCTAAATATTGACCAGTAGCTAGTCCATACAGCGGCCTACCATATAGAGAAAATGATACACGCTGAAGAAAAGCATTGGGTTTTTCAACTGGCCAACTATTTCCGCTTTCTCCGTGAAAGTTCCCATGAAGAGCACAGCCAAGAACCAAGAGCACCTACACGAGTCGGCAAACTTTTGAGACAAAAGAGCCAATCCTGTCCCTCACAACAATTTAAAAAGTATTCAAGAGCCATAAATATATTTTGACAAATAAGGAAAATTTAAAGTAATATTACAATGAGTAATGGGATTAATTATGTTTTTATTAAAATAAGAAAAAGTCACACATGTATGTACCCAAAGAACTGCACGTGGCTCGCAAGCTGCAGTTTGCCGACCACTGATCTAGACTATTCACGGTATGGTGCATAATAAGCATCAATAAGAACTATCATCACTGTTTAAAAATACAAAACACTGATGGCTACAATCTTCACACTCAATGAGGGGAGGCTTTTACGGGACTCCTAATGGATAGCCAGGTAGCTCCTTCTTGGAACTCTGGATGAGAAGGAGCCCCCTCCTCCCTGAGGCAGTCATTAATGGGGAACTCTTACCATCAAAACATCTTCTCAAGCCTAGATTTACCCCATAGCATTTACCCCCTCATTTGTCCTAACTATAGCCTTCTGTTTTTCAGAAAACTCCCTCTAAGCAAGAATTGCAGGAGTAATAAAAATAATGATAGCAAATGCATGCCAGCTACTATTCTAAGGTACTTTATGTGTATAAAATCATTTAATATTCATAACAATTATGTGAAGTAGGTACTTCTATGACAAAAGTAAAAGATAGAAAAAGTAAGTCACAGAAGTGTTAACTCATTTGGCCAGGGTTACAAAGATTTGAACCCAGAAATTCTAACAGCGGAGTCCCTACTTTTAACAATCACACCACACTGCCTCTGCTTAACTATGAGGTCAACAGATGCTGAGAAATCAAAGGAGGAAGTAGAAGACAGGGCAGCTCTCTGGTGAACTGGGGAGGATGGAGGGTGAGTGGAGAATGGGGAGAGAGAGGAAAGGAGAAAAGTCAGGAGACATTTGTAAGTTATGTATCTGTACAGGATTAGTGAAGAGGGAGGTAAAATGGGGCATGGATGATTGCAGACAAAGTTTAAAGCTCTGAAAAAGATCTGGCAAACTATCTGATAGGGAGGATAAGAAAAAAATCAAACACTTCGGATGTTGATGACATTTACGGTTTGGATAACTGGTTACCTGGCAAAGTTAATACTTCTCAGGCACAGTTTTCTATTAAACTAGATGCAGAATTGGTTGCCCT